TGTGTGTTACTAATGGGACCAGCTGCACCTGGGAGGACCTGCACTGCGGTGAAATCTATAACGTTACGGTCACTGCCAATGACAGCCGCTGCACGAGTGCACGCAGCAACAGCACCACCATACATATGGGTAAGACCAGACACTCTAATGATAAATATACCATCAGTTTGCATCTGAAGGATGAATTTGAGTAGTTTAAAACTAACATTACATATAATTTACATGATAGTTAAATTAAAAAAAAAACTAAAAACAAATGTATGAATGTGTATTAGATAGCAAATTGCATAAGATAAAAAAAATCATTCACTTGACACTTGCACTTATCTCTGTAGTATATATGTAAAATTATTTTAATGCTGTAAGTGCACTAAAAAGTATTTGGATGCTGTATGAACTTGAGGGGGATCAGCTGATTAAAAATCTTCGTAAAAATGACTAAGAAAAGTTGAATAAGTTCTGAACAGGGTGCACAATTTTTTAATAACTATATAAAACCCAACAAGAAGTGCAACAAAACTGTTAATTTAAACCACACAAACTATACTTATATATTCAAGATATATTCTCTAAAAACAAGTTTGCTTCACAGGATAAAACTTCTAAAGTAAAAGACATGACATGAAGCAAAATGAAAGTCACATGAACAAAGCACACCAAACCGTGTTGGAAAACAAGACAATATATTTGAATATATTCCTCATCATGAGACAAAAATATGAAATTTCTAATGATTATAAATGACAAAATTATTATTAAACACATTTACTCACGTTCAATCCAATTTAAATATTATTCTTTTTTTAATGTTATAATTTTTCGCAAATACCCTGACATTTTCCTTGTTTATGCATGTAAACACAAACCTCAGGGGAGTTTTAATGCTGTGCTATGTTTTCTGGCTCTTTAGCCCCATGTGTTCCTCAAGCTTTGCTGCCCATCCTGGACTGTGGCACAGGGGTGGGTACTCTGAGCTGGGCTTCCAGTGCTGGAGCTGAGACATATGAGGTGACAGCAGTGAGTGGAGATGGGAATCCACTGGCATTCAGTACCAACATCACCAGTGGCTTCCTATCAGAGCTGCTCTGTGGTCAACAGTACCAGATCACAGTCAGAGCAATTAACAGGCAATGCAGAAGTGTACTGAGTTCACCTGCTTACTTGTCATCAGGTAATGCAGAAACACTGATGGCTTGACTCTTTATATAGTCTGTTGAAAATTACCCATATCGCAGATCTCAAATGCTTTTCCTGTTCTCTTCTCCTCTAGTTCCATGTGTTCCTCAGAATGTGGTGTCTGAGCTGGACTGTTCGTTTAACTTTATAACTATAAGGTGGAATGTCAGCCATGGGGCGGCGTCTTACCTGGTGGTTGCCAATGGACCTGAGGGTCCAGTGACTGCCTGTAACACAACTGCACAGCAGTGCAGACTGCAAACACTGCATTGCAGCTCCTCGTACAATGTCCGCGTCATTGCAGTCAACCAGCAATGCAACACATCAGGAAGTTCCATCTTACGAATAAACACCGGTATAGTCTATGTATAGTCTGCTCTCTACTTTTATCTCTGTTTGAAAAAAAAAAGATTAATTACAATTAAGCATGCCAACAGATGTAAGATAGAAAACTAATTACTAATTTAGTCTTTCTCCAACCTTGTTTCTTTGCAGTGCCGTGTGTACCTAGTCATGTGCAGGGCAGTGTAAACTGTACGACTGGAGATCTATCTGTATCCTGGGACCCAAGCGTGGGGGCCATTTCCTATGCTGCGGTTGCTCAGACTAGTGGTGGCTATGCTTCAGTGTGCAACAGCACCGGAACAGCATGTGTCTTCTCAGATCTGCTCTGTGGGATGAACTATAGTCTAGCTGTCAGCGCCACTGACGGGACATGCAACACTGCACAGAGTCAACCAGTTGTGCTGAGTACAGGTACCTGAAAAACATTAAAATAACATCCACCATAAATACAGTTCAGCAGTATGGGGTCAGTACTACTTTATGCTTTAGAAAGAAGTCTTTTATGCCTTGCGTTTACTTGATCAAAAATACAGTAAATCAGTAATATTGTGAAATATTATTAAAATGTAAAATAACTGTTTTCGATTTTAACATATTTTAAAATGTAATGTATTCCTGTGATGGCAAAACTGCAATTACTGCAGTCTTCAGTGCCACATGATCCATCAGAAATCATTCTAATGTGTAAACCGTGTTCTTTCTTATGATTATTTGATGAACAGAAAGTTTGAAAGAACTGCATTCATTTGAAATTACATTTTTATGAAACATTATAAAAGTTTTTGTCACTTTTGATAAATGTAATGCATCCTTGCTTAATATCCCCCCAAAAAAAGATCTGACCTTTGAACAGTGTATTATAGTGCAATGATACATATATGTCTTTGTTTCAATTTTTTTTGTTCTTAATATAGGCAACAAACATCTAGACACTGCGCAATAAAATAAAACAATGCATATATTGATATTTTATTAAATTCATAGCAATTAAATGACCGCCCTCTAAAACAAGGATGTTTTACTGGTCTTCATTTTAGAAATGTGCTTCCTAAAATAACTGAAACATTCTCACTGTTACTAGTGTTAGTACTGATTTTTAAGTTTCAAGTACTAAAGTTAATAATCTTGCTAATTATGATAATTGTTCATATTTCATTTCACTTCAGTGTCCTGTAAGCCACAGAATGCTAGCGCCCAGCTCAACTGTGACACCAACTCTGCAGTTGTAAGTTGGGAGCTCAGTGATAACATTAAGCATCACACAGTCCAGGCTACTGGTTCTGATGGACATCGCATCGACTGCTCCAGCTCCGACCACAGTTGTACATTATCTGGCATGCACTGTGGCCAGAGCTATAACATTACCGTCACTGCCTTGGGTGGAGTATGTGACAATGGCAACATGCACCTCTTTCTGCAGTCAGGTGAGTCTGCTGATTCTCTTGTGCACCTGATGACAGAGAAGCCAAGATTAAATCCTGTATCTGATTCAAGTCGAACGTGGGGTATTCTAATCTGTTGTAAAGATGACCATGCAGGTGTATGATTATCAACACTAATGGGTCCTGTTCGTGCTCTCTTTCAGCTCCATGTGCACCTAGCAATGTTCAGACGTCTTTGCATTGCGACATCAGCAATGGTGGTGTTGTGTCTGTGTCGTGGGTGCAAGCAAACGGGGCGGAGTCTTACACGGCTGTGGCTGAGTCTAACAATGGTCATTCCTACTCTTGTAACACCACCGCTGCCTCCTGTGATCTACAGGAACTGCAGTGTGGTCAGATTTATAATGTGTCTGTCTACTCACTGGCTCATGGCTGTGGGCGAGTGAAGAGCACTACGTCTCAGGTGCAGACAGGTGCGTGTGTGAAGATTTTACTTACTTTATCAAGAGAGGAGTATGTCTTTATTTAATGTTTTAGTCATTTTCAAAACCAGTGGTCCCATCTCGAAGCTGATAATTACATAATAAGAGATCTGAACACTTCAGTTCAACTTAATTAGCCATCAAATATATAAAAGGTCTAATATAAGCATAATTTCATTATTCATATTGTTTTTTGTGTTGCATGTATGTTTCACTGAAGGTTTCTTTCACCAACAGCAGTTGTAATTTAATTTGATAATTTTACACCCCCCACCCCCCTGACATAAGAGTAAATCTCATGAAATAGTTAAAGAGCAAAACATTTTTTCACACCAAAATCAAAATCAAAAAATAAGAAAATATATTGTGCTTAAGTAAAGTCTACTTTTGGCATTTTTATTGGCAGTTCTGTCAGGACCACTATCGTCAAAGATGATTGACAATTAGCATACAGTTTGGATTGGCGGTATGGTTCTGTTCTGGGCAAGAACTCCCTGCGCATCCATGCAGCCTAGCATGAATAAGAGCAGGAAGAGCAGCGATAACCCCCCCAGGGTAAACAGAACAGAACCAACATAAATGTATTGCAGATATCGTTAAAGTTCAATAATGTTATGTACATGTTATGCCGGCAGCCGTATCACCCTGTAGCCCAAGACTGGTTACCCACTGAAGCTAAGCAGGGCTGAGCCTGGTCAGTACCTGGATGGGAGACCTCCTTGGAAAACTAGGTTGCTGCTGGAAGAGGTGTTAGTGAGGCCAGCAGGGGGTGCTTACCCTGTGGTCTGTGTGGGTCCTAACGCCCCAGTATAGTGATGGGGACACTATACTGTCAACAAGCACCGTCCTTTGGATGAGATGTTAAACCGAGGTCCTGACTCTCTGTAGTCATTAAAAATCCCAGCCTTTCGAATCCTGGCCAAATTTGCCCATTGGCCTCTGATCATCATGGCCTCCTAACAATCCCCATATCTACTGATTGGCTTCATCACTCTGTCTCCTCTCCACCAATAAGCTGGTGTGTGGTGGGTGATCTGGCGCACTATGGCTTGACTAACGTGACCTGCCAGAACTAACGCTACGCTAGATTTATTTTCAGAAAATTTAAGCATATTTTCTCTCCAAATTATCCTTGCTGTAATGCAAAAAAACAAAACAATATATTATTTAAATGGTAAAGTATTTATATCTCATTGTTATATATTTTGGTTATGATTTTATTTAAAAATGTTTAATAATACAGTGAGGGGAACTACAAAATAATCTGTTGTAAGTAAAACATCTCATTACAGGAATTATTATTTTTTTTTTTACGGTAATGAGACTTTTGACAGAAATTCTAATTGCCATGAAATGAATGCCACAATGCAATAGTCTTGAAAATGGACTTTAATGTCATTTTGTAAAATATAATATCTTATTTATTTTTACGGTAATGAGACTTTTGATAGAAATTCTAATTGCCATGAAAATAATGCCACAATGCAAAAGTCTTGAAAATGGACTTTAATGGCATTTGGTAAAATATAATATCTTATTTCTGAGGCAAAATATGACCAGGAAATGTTTTGTGAGTTTCACCCACCTTTAGAATTAAGCAAGCTACCATATGTTTAAGACTTCTACATGGGGCTATGACTGACTTACTTTTTGCATGTGAAATGAGCAGGCATGCTAACTTGATGTAGCATTGCGGCAAGGAGTACACCACCGTTGCTATGTTGGCTTACCTTATATAGTTTCCTGCTGATGTAGTTAGTACAGCCCCACCCTTCAATAACATCCTGGTTCCGTCTCTCTCTTTTCTCAGCTCCATGTCCCCCTCAGAACGTATCTGCCATTGTGCAGTGTGATTTAGGGTCTGTGCTGGTGAGTTGGAACCCAGCAGTGGATGCCAGCCAGTTCAGAGTTGAACTGGAGTCCGAGAGCACCGGTACGATTTCCTCCTGTAACAGCACAAACACACAGTGCTCCATCGTCCATCTGCCCTGTGGAGAGAGATTCAACCTCAGTGTGGTGGCACTGAGAGGCAGCTGTCAGAGTCAACCAATCAGTGACCTTTCCATCTCCTCAGGTTGGACACTAACACAAAAATACTTCCTCAAACAGATTACAATTGCCATATTTACCTAATGCACTTCATGTCTGATGTCTGATGTCTTCTCTTTACAGCTCCATGTATCCCACAGGGGGTCACCGGTACTGTGGACTGTGTTACTAACTCTGCATGGGTATCATGGAATGTAGATAATGGTGCAGAATCTTACACAGTGCAGGCTGTAAGGGATGACGGTCACAATTCCACCTGTAGCAGCTCAAACTCCACCTGTAATGTACCTGACCTGGGGTGTGGAAGGAGCTACACCTTTCACGTCACTGCCTCAAACGCTGCTTGCGTGAGCCCACCCAGCAACAGCTTTCAGCTGGAGACAGGCAAGTACACCTGCAGTAGAGAGCTTTAGCCTTCTTATTTGAGATCATGTGTATCTCAGTCTTAAAGTATGTATAATCTCTCTCTCCAGCACCTTGTGCCCTGTCATCCATCCTGGTGGTGGCTGAATGCCACAGTTCTGTTATCATTGTACAGTGGCAGAGAGCTCGGAGTGGAAATTCTCTCTACATTGCCACAGCAGAGGATCAAGACCGTTCCCTCCTTTCCTGCAATAGCTCCGCTTCTTCATGCAACTTTACCCATGTGCAGTGCGACAAGGAGTACACCATCATTGTAGCCGCTTCGGCCAACCAATGCAGCAGCCTCCGCAGCCCACCCTACAAGATCAGAACTGGTACAACCATCAATATCATGTCATACCCATCTAATAAAACATGAAAAGATGTTTATTTTAGAAAGCAAACCATCAGCAATCAGTAACTATTCATGAGCAACCATCACTTTTATTATTCCTCCAACTTGGGGTTGGGAATTTACCCTTTAAAGAGGTGCGCTATTACTTTCTTAGGTGATCTGACTTTGAATTTTTACCTGATGGATAAAGAGAAAAAAACTTTAAATTAAAGAAGGGACCCGGGTCTTATCTAGGAACCACGATATCATGGACACCTGGGGCTGGGCTCTTTTGACTTGTTTTCTAGCCACTGAGCAACCACCCAGAAACACTAGCACTCACCTAAAATTCAAATCGTAAAGTGCTAACAACAACTCAATACACCATAACATTTGCATTATGGGAGTTTTCTAGTTAAATAATTGCAACTACATTCTGTAGACCAGGGTTGTACAATCCTGCTCGTGGAAGGCAACCTTCCCGTGGAGTTTAGTTCTAAACTGCCTGCTTCTAGCAATCACGAGGATCTTGAAAATATAAGGTTGGAGCTAAACTCAACAGTAAGGTAGACCTCCAGGAGCAGGATTGGATACCCCTGATCTACAGATCTATCCATGTTAGATGCACTTTCATTACATTAATATTCAGGCTGTTCTCATTTCTTCCTTTGATTGTCTGCAGCACCCTGTCAGCCATCATCAGTTCAGGCCGATGTAGACTGTCAGTCGAAGGATGTGTTTGTGTCATGGGACCCATCATACGTGGCGCAGTCGTACCTGCTTACTGTAGTCGGCAGAAATGGAGACTTGAAGACGTGCAATACCTCGGACAATAACTGCACGCTAACCGATCTGCATTGCAGCAACACCTACTATGTGTCCGTTTTAGCCAGTAATGAGAACTGCACCAGCCTGCCCAGTGCTAACATCACCTTCCAAATGGGTAAGAGAACACAAATTATTTTCCTTTAAATTCCGTGACCAAAGTTTTTACACTGTGTTAATATTTATTGCAATGTGTTTATTCCATAGTGCCGTGCGAGCCAGCCAACTTAACTGCAAACATACAGTGCGGGAACAGTAGTAGTGCCTCATTGTCATGGGTGGGGAGTACAGGGGCGGTGGTCTACACAGGACTTGCTCAGTCACAAACCGGCACAACGGTCTACTGTGAAACCACACACACGTCCTGCACTCTGGAGGGCTTAGTGTGCGGCACTGTGTACAACTTTACAGTGCAGGCAAAGGATGGCTTCTGCAACAGTTCCTTGAGTGAACCTCAAACTAAGGGAGCAGGTAGAACAATCAATTTGGTTCAGTTTATTGGTATGTTTTCTGCACTTGTGTGTCTACCAAAAGAACCAAGTCCACTCTTGTATGGTTGTCAGTTAGTATGAAAGTAACGACCCAATTTGCAGACCTAAACCACTACTGATAAAGATCTTCAAGGATCTACTTTTAGCAGAGCAGAGCCAAGAAATATTTTCGGCACCTTCTTCTGAGTCATTACCAGCCTGGTTAGCAGCAACTTACATTAACAATGTGTCTATGAGTCGGATATCACATAAAAAAAAAAAAAAGGTCTTCTAGGAGAATAGAATCGAATATGTGTTCAGACCATCTATGTACACAAAATCAGAAAGTATATAATGTAGGCAAATCTATACTATTTTGATTCTGCTTCTTTGGGATCCCCATTGGGTTTTAAGTCTCTTTGTCTGTGTCTTTCCCTCAGCTCCCTGTCCTCCAGCTGGACTGAGGGTTGTCCCTCGTACAGTAGTGAATGATACTCAGATCTTGAGGGCATCTTGGTCTACTGTGAATTGTCCTAATTCTGAATACCTCCTGGCACTCACGGGCAGCATTCAGGGCAACAGCCAGGCACTCTTTGACCTCGCCTCCTATTGGACAAGTCGCAGGTTCTTTGAGGTGCCCCTCCTTTGTGGCTCCTCCTACAGCGCAACCATCAGCGCGAGGAACTCTGCCGCCACAAGCGACAAATCTGCTGCCATCACTGGAACCACAGGTGCACAATGTTCAGTCACCACAGTACTACGTTCTTACCCTACTTAAATGGAAAATGAAGATGCCTAAAATGCAAAAACATACATAACTCATCTGTTCATTTGTTTCTTTCCCCCAGTACCTTGTGCCCCTCTGAATGTGACATTCTCTGCATCATCGGCGGAAGTGGCATGGAACCAGTCTCTATTTGCTACAAACTACACTGTGTATGGGGTTACTTCTTCTGGTAGGACGAAACTCTGCATGACCTCACAGCTCCTCTGCTCTGTCACCAATTTCAGCAGTGGCCACATTGTCGTAACTGCCAGCAACACTGCCGGGGAGAGTGAAGACTCAGTGCCTGTTTCAGGTAAGTAGGTGATTTTAGAGAGCAAGAATCAAATATCAGAGCAGTAGTAATTTTCACTAAGACAGGCTTGTCAAACTCTTGCTTTGGTGAAAGTCCTGTCACCTTTGACCTTGCCCATCCTTTCGCAGTAACAGCAGGTCGCAGGAGGAGGTGAGACCTGGCACAAAGTGAGAAAGGTGAGTTGATGCTCAACAGCAGAAATTAAAACTCATGAAATTTCTTTTCTCAGATTAATTCTCAAAATGGAGAAATAGACTTTATTTAGGGTAAATGGTATATTGAACTTTACACAAAAGAAACTGAACCTCATTCCACATGCAAAAAAGTGATGCCACCCAATGTTTGCTTTTAAAGATTTATCCACAACAGCGCCTTTCCTTAACATCTTAAAAATATATTTACAAGCGACAGAAAATGTTTGAAGTCTTAAAAAGGTTTCCAGTATTAACCCTTGATTCTCTCCACTCTAGGCCCGACCAACCCGGAGTAAATGCTTTTATCTCATCGCACTCAAACTCTTGCCTCTGAGAATTCCTGCACTTACCTAAGAATTTGTGAAACTCTGAGATATTTAACTTTTGCATGTTACATAAATTCTGGTTCAAGGTTCTTTTTTTTTTAAAACAATGTTTAAGGGTGAAATAGATTGACTGGGTGTAAGATCAACATTATTTCTTTTTAAATGTTTTCCAAAATCTGTTGTTTTTGGCTGAAGGATTTACTTTCATGCAATGCCAAATATTTTAAAAAAGTCTTATATAAATATGTATTCCTGTTTTTGTATACGAGTAGTTATATTAAGTACAAAGAGCATTTCTCCATGTGATGAGTCTTATAAATTATGACATGTAAAATAAATTAACCATATACAAAACAGCTGCTCTTCTTATAAAATTAATGTTCTTACAAGGAACTGACAAGGGCACAACAGTGAAAGCAAAAAAGCACTGTAAAAGACTATTTAACATCTTTAAGTGAATTAACTACTCATCCCATGAACCAACACAACTGACAACAGAATCAAGTTGATAAAATAAAACTTGACTATAAATAATTTTAATTATAAAACAGTGCATTGTTTATTTTTACAATTTATTCCAAGATATTAATACTTGTACAAGCAATTTGAGAGTAAGCCTGACTAAATTATCACAATACTTCATGGGAATGGGTAGCCGCTACTTTTCTCACCTACAGTTCTCAGATCTCTCTTTATAATTATGGATATTACTGTACTGCAAAAAATAAAGTTGAAATCATACAGCAGAAGCACATGTCTTAATTTAACAACCTAAAATCTCATGGCAGGTTTGTCTTGAAAGGTTGACATGTCGACACAAACTCTATAAAGAAACTCTATGAAGAAAATGAGTGACATTTTTACATCCAGAACCCAACTGTTTTGATAAATGACATCAAAAATATACAACCGAGCAATTTTGTTCCATAAGAATTTTATTAGAAAACGAGATGCAACAGAGCAATGAAACAGTACAATGTCAGCACAGATTTCAGCGGCCTGTGTCACAAACTCAACTCTGTGGTAGCTCTGTTGAAATTTAAAACATTCTCTGAGCTCTATGTACAAAGCCATTTGTGAAAATTCAGAAAACAAATTGGGGGAGAAAGGGGATTAAAAAAGAAAAGAAAAGTATTTTTAAAATGTCATTTTCAGTTCAGACATCTGTAATCGACAACTGAGAGAAAAATACATTTTTTGATGTCTACACAAGTGGCAATTAACAGTCCAGAAAAAAAAAAATCCAGGCTTTTCCAATTGCTTACTTCAACACAAGTGGTGCACAAGAGGATTAAAGATAAAGACATGAAGTAATAAGAGAGGTACTGGTAAAGAGGGAATTTGAAAGAGAGGAGGGGGAGATAGAGACAGACTTGGATCAGGGAGAATCCTCTCGAACACTGTTTGTTCTTTCTCCTAGTTCAGGACTGGGATGCTCTTGTTTTACATGTTCTCGTCCATTGCTGGATTCTCGACGGTGTGAGCGCTCTTTGCTGCGACTGCGCTTGTGTGAGCGTTCCTTACTATGGCTGTGTTCCCGTTTCTGGTTCCTCTCCTCCCCTGCTTCCTGCCTGGTCTTGCTGCTCGAGCGAGAGCGTTTCTTGCTAGATCGTTCAGTTTTGTTTTTCCGGTCTCTGCTTTTGCTCTTTGAGCGTTTGCTCCTCTTTTCTTCCCTGTGCTTTCTATCCTCCTTATCTTCCTTGTGCCTCCTCTCTTCCCCCTCTCCTTTACTCCTCTTGTCTTTTGACCTCTCCTGATCTTTATGGTGCTCTCTGTCTTTCTTGCGACTACGCTCTCTCTCACTCTCTGCCTCCCTCTCTTTATCTCTGTCTTTCCTCTCGTTCCTCTTCTCTCGACTGGTGCTGTGACTCCGGCGTGGTTCCCTGCTGCGACTGCGTCGACGTTCTGTGGTTCGGTCTGGTGTTCTGGAGCGTCGTCTATCTCGGTCTCTCTCCCTGTCCCGCTCCTTGTCTCTATCCCTATCCTTTCCCTCCCGTTCTTTTCGCTGCCGGTCTCGTTCTCTCTCCAGCTCACAATCAAAGCTGGCGCCATGCTTTTCTCTGTGATGGCTGTGACTCCTGGAACGATTTTGGGACCTCCCGGGACTCTGACTTTTCCTAGGTGTCCTAAACACACACACAAAAAAACACAATTATTGAACATAGCACATATATACTAGTGAACAAAATAGAAGAGAGTGAGGTGATTCTGAAACAGCAATTCTATTCCCTGCATTCAGATCACAACATTACAAAGTACTGTATATGTAAGACAGAATCTCATACAGACAAGTATAACTCGGCAGAAATTAGTATTGTGTGTACATTTCTTTAAAGGGGAACAAAGTTTTGGGCTAACTGCAAAAGTTCCACACAGAAAGTAATCGTATTTTTGAAAATGTTTAAAATTATGTAAACTCACATGAGATCGAAGACTTTAGTCATATCTGTCTTGGTGAAAAATATGTCTACATTCTACATGCTGCTGGGAGCACGTTCATGAGCCATCCAAATAACAATTTAATCCAAACCAAGGAAAAACTTACAGTATATCAAATGCCAAGCATTAACAGTCGCCAGAATTGCCACACCAAAAAACAGAACTCTAGCAATTTGGTTACAATACACTACAGCTGTCTGACATGTACCAGCATTAACCAACAACACAAGAAATTAGTTGAGCTTAAATCCAACAATGCCCATTATATGTTTCCATTATATACAAACAACTACAAAGAAATGGCAAGTACCACTTTGAATTAAACGAAGTAGAAAAACTGAAATGTTATTTTCTTGTAAAACAATCCAGTAATCTTTGTTTTATTTACAGAGTAGTTATGGCTCATCTTCAATAGTTAGTCCATTCAAAATGGTTGGTGATCCTTTAAAACAGCTGAACAAAACTAACTTACTACAGTTCAAACACCACCACAAACACTGATCACTGCTGATCTGGTTAGCCAAATAATCTCATGCCACCCACACACAACGAATGTACCTGGAACGGCGCCTATCTCCATGCCTTCCTGAATCGGCTGCCGCCTCTTCATCCTGCTCATCTTTTTGCGGGGGTTTACGTGGTCGGTTCTTCATGTGCTGGTCGATTGCTTTCTGCACAGGAACAGGTATTCGTGGAAACAACGTTGAGAACCATTCCAGCTTGGTCAGGAAGGAGCGGAGCATCTCTCCAACCGTCATTACGCACCCTCCTCCAGCCTTCACGTCCAACTCCTGATCACAGAGACAAAGGAGCAAAACCATTAACACTACAATCATAAACGCACTCAGACACATTAAAAGATATCGCACAACCTCTGGTATACATGTTAACGCTAATAATTAGACCGTACACTGTCCTAAATAAAATGCTTCATTTGTGATGACCAAACACTGAGCCTTCACCTCTGCTCTCACCTGACTTAATATTCAGTATTGACAGGTGCACCAAGTAATTTTGTTTGCTTCATTGACCGGCATCTTCAACTTTATAATAACAAATAATCAGCACGGATACAAAAGCAATACCATTATATAAATACTTTTATTACTAGCTAAAAAAAGGTGCTACTTCATAATAGACATTTAGTGCACCTTTAATATAAGTGGGACCGTTAGGAAGGAACGGCGCCTATCTCCATGCCTTCCTGAATCGGCTGCCGCCTCTTCATCCTGCTCATCTTTTTGGGGGGGTTTACGTGGTCGGTTCTTCATGTGCTGGTCGATTGCTTTCTGCACAGGAACAGGTATTCGTGGAAACAACGTTGAGAACCATTCCAGCTTGGTCAGGAAGGAGCGGAGCATCTCTCCAACCGTCATTACGCACCCTCCTCCAGCCTTCACGTCCAACTCCTGATCACAGAGACAAAGGAGCAAAACCATTAACACTACAAATCATAAACGCACTCAGACACATTAAAAGATATCGCACAACCTCTGGTATACATGTTAACGCTAATAATTAGACCGTACACTGTCCTAAATAAAATGCTTCATTTGTGATGACCAAACACTGAGCCTTCACCTCTGCTCTCACCTGACTTAATATTCAGTATTGACAGGTGCAACAAGTAATTTTGTTTGCTTCATTGACCGTCATCTTCAACTTTATAATAACAAATAATCAGCACGGATACAAAAGCAATACCATTATATTAATACTTTTATTACTAGCTAAAAAAAGGTGCTACTTCATAATAGACCTTTAGTGCACCTTTAATATAAGTGGGATCGTTAGGAAGTAACAGAGTTACATTTCCTGTCTTTCTGCTTTATTTTTTTATAGAAAATAGTTTATTATATTAATTTTCAACAGATCTGCATGACTGAGCATCAAAATAATTTGCTTCCACAATGTCTCTTACTATGCAATGGCTCAACATAGGTGCGATGCAGAGGAGGTTGTAGGTCAGCTGACATATATATGCTGTACCGGTGCGTGTGAAGGGGTGGAGTGGGTAGGTGAGCTTGTCTAATTGCACCCACGAATACCAGTCAAGTGTGGGGAGCACACCCTATATCCAATCCACCCGCATCACAAGGGCAATCTGGGAGAGAGAACAGGGCAGTCAGCCAGAGACACACATAACCACCACCACCAGGCCTGGCAGCAATGTCTGCTCAATGCAAATTAGATCTCCTTTTCTGGGCTATTTTTAAAATGGATAATATATTACCAACTATATACTGAGGGTGGGCGTGCAGGAGCACAAGACATGAGTCAGCAACCAGTAATGGATGTCTGATATTTACGATCAAATATAAATGTATCTATGAATCACAGAGGCATACTGCCATATACACAAAGTATCTGGGCTAAAAGAATATTGCATGCAATTTACATTTAACTACAGCGGAATCACCATGGAACTACATATCTAGCTCAAATTACCATTTGCTAAGAGTTTGTGCTGATCTCAGAACAGACATGGCATACCCAGTGAAAGTAAGAAACCAGTTATCTGATGTCTTGGGTAAACTTGCCACCACAAATACAGCTGTAACTGTTAAATCTCAAGAGGAACATTAAGTTAAATGAGGTCAAAGGTTGAAGGACAGCTATGTGCATCACAATCAGCATTTGGCCTAAAGCTTTCTGGTTAAAACTTGATACATTATAAATAAGAGAGATGAAGTCATTACCCGTGGTGACATACCTCCTCGTCGTCAAGGAACTCATCATACCAATCAACCAAGTCAGGAGGAGGCTGAGTATACCTACAACACACAGATTCAACATTATAAATGAGTATTCATCGAGACCAGAAAATAAGAACCATCCAAACAAACAATGTGGCTTGAGCTATGTACTTATGAAATTACCATCTTATATACAGCAGTTTGGGTAATTCTGCTCTACATACTCATATTCCTTCGCTAAAATCAATGCTAGAATTTGATTATTCAAAGTAGTTCACCCACATGAACCGCCATGGCAGTGTTAAATAACAAAACATGAAGTTACTTCTGAAACAGTTACCATAAAAACCCCCAGCTCAGTTCATGTTAAGTGTTCTACGTCATACCTGATGTACATGAAGCCCAGTGATCTGATATAGGGCGAATCTGTGTGAGTGATGAGACCCATCACTTGCTTGCGGGTCAGTTTCAGTGTAAATAGCTTATACAGCAAGCAAAATGCAGTGGAGACAATCCCACCTGTCCCGACTCCTCGAACCTGCAAGACAAACATCATGAAACTTGAAGCTAAACATATGTTCTGCTTTAGTGAATCTCTCCCTTGTTTTAATCAAAGTGGCAAAGATTACGGGAGGATGAAGTCGAGTAGGTCTCAAGGCACGTACTTCTACTTACCCCTCCGCACATTCCTGTCTGCCCCGCAGTCTTCCTGCTGCCTTTTTCCCATGGCTCCATATGATTGACCTGAGTAGGAAACAGGTCACAATCTGACACCAAGCAACTGACTACAGGAGAAATACAACTATAAATCCCAAGTTTACATTTATTCAAACCTGGATTCCAAAACTGTTAGCCTAATATTCTAGTACTTATAGCGAATACTTTAAAATAATAATAGTGGAAAAATCATTATAATGGAAAAAGATTTTAGTCTTTCGAATTTAGTTTGTTTTGCAACAGTGCTGGCTAACAGAAAATTACTATAGTTTTGGTAGTCACAATAAAAAACCGTTCACACCAAACTCTATTAATTTTAATAATAGTTCTAATTTTATGAGAATAGGGAAGCCTACACCACAGCTGTAACGACACAGATGAACGGTACTATTAGAATCACTTTCAGAACGATTATTTCTCTAGCTGATAACGATAAAACATCGACCAATCACAATCAGAATATTCTCGAGCATTTCAAGCGACAGACTACATACCTGCATCATGCGTTTATATAATAATAAAAAATTACACGTTGGTGTAAACTAATAAAGTTACTGTTATAGGTATCTTGGTGTGAACGGGACGGTTGCTATGTTGATTTTCTGTCATTTTGTCGCTTTTAAGATCTCAGGGACTCAGTCACTATTCACTTTCGTTGAATGTTTGTCCGTCCAATTAAAGTAAATGGTGACTGAAGATGTCATTCTGTCTATACGGTAACGTTACACCTAGTATCCTACTAAAGAAATTCAATAATTCTGGTTTGGAATAACATATCGGTGAGTTAATGATGACAACGGTTTCATTTCTGAGTTAACTAACCATTCTTATAGGTGTATTTTGAGTTAAGTTAGTTAGCACAATTAGCCTCTATGGCCTAACACGGTCTACTGCAGCTCACGTAAAACTAAATTAAAAGCAAATTACATTTATTTAACAACTATTTAAGCCTAATAGAAGCAATGCCAAACAATGAGCAATATTCAATGCCCATGTAATACAAAAAAGAAAACCGCGGGCTTCGCGCTCGTCGGCCCGGGTTCATTTCGCCACCTTGAAGTATATTTCGTCCACCACCTCGTGGTACGTCTTGAGCTCGTACAGCTGGACCTTGAAGTAGGGCGAAGACAGGACGTTTGTCAGGATCATCGGGTTGAGGTTCATAGTCTTCTCGTTGCCCCATAACGGCAAAACGTTGCCGTGTTTCCCGCCGGCCGGTTTGCTCACGGCCTGCTGCTGTTGTTGCTGCTGACTAACCGCCATGGCAGTTCCTTCACAACGCCATTAAATTACAAAACGAAAGAAAATGATAGTTGACCTTAACGAATATCACGGCAACGCCTTCGACGAGCTGCGCGAGTGGCGGACCGACGTCTCTTAATTCATTCGAATTGGATTTTGGATCGTTTTGACCAAGTCTCTGTGGCGTTAGAAGACGCACGCTAACCGTTCAGCTACGCTGGGTTGTGGGGACAAGATGGCGCACGGAAGAGGGGCGGCGGAAAGGCACGCAAGGCTGAGGGTTGCCAAGTTGTGTCAAATTATTATTTTCACCAGAAAGAGGAAAATTACGGTAATCCTATAAAAAAAACTGCATTTACAAATCATCTATAATCATTGTTTTTAAAATCATTAATAAAAAAAATTCTATGAATATCAATGTGGAAATAAAAACAATTGGAGTTCGTCTACTCTTCAGGGTGGCGACAAGTTAAACAGGTACTGCATTTCCTAGGAAGATGCTTTACAAAGTACTTGGCAACACGGTCCTCCAGCGTGGTTTGATATGTCTTGTACCTGACTGCAGTTGTCTTGCTGAGTCCATATATTGTTGAAGGCACTTCAATTTTTCCACGTGCTCTTGGTATTGTGTTGCGGTAATGCTCTAAATTTATTTTAAGGCTAAGGCAGCATGTTTGTAAGATGTTTATTGCGATTATAGGACATGTATTCTAACTTAATATTTTTAAAAAAATCATATAAATGTAAACTGCATCACCAGCTCAATTATAACAACATTTATTTCAGATGGGCAAAGACAACTACCCAGTATGGCAACAAATCAAAACTACAGAACGAGATATTTTAATTATATAAGTTTATTTTTTTCAAAACAAAATCTCTAATGTATTCTTAAAATGTAACATATTACAGTGAAGTGCATATATTGCATTTTGTCTTAAAGTATTCAGGTATATACTTCATGACATGTATGCTTTGAAACATCAGATATATCATACATCTTTATTTCTTTTACTCCTTTAGTTTTTCCTGTAGTTTGACAATTGTCACTATTAGAAAGCCTGAACACATAAATTAATGTTTTTTTCCTTATATACATTCTTAAAAATATTACAGTTGTAATATACAATATGAAATCTGATAAACAGCCCTTTTTATTAGCTTTTAAAATTGGCATGTTCTTTCAAACAAATTTTAGCAGTAATAAAATTGTATAAAATCTCCCTCTTTTAGAAACCCTTTTCCAAAAAAACAAAAAAAAAACATTACATGGATCCTGAACGGCTCAGGTCTTCTGCATTTTTCCTGAAAAAGAATGCCTGTAAATAGAATTTGGATTATGCCATTTTAACAAACAGTCCACTATTTGCAGTGTCCATCCCTGTGCAACTTGTGGTTGAGTCTTGTTTATGCTGACAAAACGGTGCACTAACTGGGATCTTAGAAAACTCACTAGTTTGAGGGTCACTTCGACCGGGTGTTCAAGCAACAGCCACCTACGGTACAGACCATCTGTCACCTGTTTACTGTTTATACAGTTTTCTTTTAAATCAACACATTTGTAACAATTAGACTACCTTTATGGCCTCACAAAATGACAAAATATGATGAAATCAGTGGTATACGTTAAATTAGTATGATTGGTACTTGATCCCCCCCTCCCCGCTCCCCTCAAATTAGCAGCATCCAACCAAGTAAACATCAGACAATCCAAAGTGCATCAGTCCATGTCAGTGGATTTAAATTTCTATATTAAAAATAGTCCTTAATCTGTAACACGCCTTTTCAGTTCCACCAGTGGTTCCAAGCATGTTTTTTTTAAATGTCTGTGAGAACAATAACCATCTATTTTTGGTAAAATAATACCAATCCAAGTATTTCCTGTTACTTTGAGCTAAAGCAAAGCTTCTGTCTGTCTTCAGAGCTTTACCACTAGGGAGAGCAGTGATTCCACAAATTCCTAGAGCCCATGAATGTATCACGAGCCCAGCATAGAACTGCTGCTTGTGATAGAAGACAACTGCTGTCCTCTCATTTGACACAGGATATTACATCACGTCCCCCCACGGACATTCAGTCTAGCGTTTTATAACCACCTGTTCAAAAGCCCCTGCACCAACCCTGAATGATGGAAAGAGAGAGACAGTAGGCATTACATTTCATTACATTACATTACAGAATTACATTACCACAGTCTGCAATTTTATGATATTGTCAGAGCTCATGTAACATAATACCTCCCTATAATCTGCTTCTCATAATGCAAAGCACAATGACCATGTATCACACAAGGACGGCATTAGCAGAGAATGCCTGTTGCAGTGGTGACCTTGCGGCAGGGAAATTTACATAATGTATCTCACCTGGTGTGCTGAGAGCCCAGTGCAGTGCTGCCTCCAGGCCCAACAAACAGTCGCAGACCCTCCTCTGCAACAATAGCAAAAAAATCCCTAATACTTACATTCATATTTAGGGGCCATGATTTCATATATATATATATAACTTCCAGAAGAAAACATGATGCATTAAGAGCCTGGAGGTGAAAACGTTTTGAATTTGAAGATCTGGGAAACATGTAAGTATCTTCCGTAGCTTCTGAAAGGCAGTACTAAATGTAAAAAAATATGATATTTATGCAAAATAAGAAAAATGTACACATCTTCATTCCGTTCAAAAGTTTACACCGCTGGCTCTTAATGCATAATTTTTCCTTCTGGAGCATCAGTGAGTGTTTGAACCTTTTGTAATAGTTGCATACGAGTCCCTCAGTTGTCCTCCGTGTGAAAAGATGGATCTCAAAATCATACAGTCATTGTTGGAAAGGGTTCAAATACGCAAAAGATGCTGGAAAACCAAAGAATTTGTGGGACCTGAAGGATTTTTCTGAAGAACAGCAGGCAGTTTAACTGTTCAGGACAAACAAGGGACTCATGAACAACTATCACAAAAAATAAATAAATAAATAAAATTTAAAAACCGGCTGTGGATCATCCAGGTTACAACACAGTATTAAGAATCAAGCATATGTAAACTGTTGATTGGGGTCATTTTTATAAATTCAACTATTATGTGGACTATATGTAAACGTATTTTATGTGAAATATCTTAGTCAGGTCAGTACTAAATAGAAACATGCATTTTGTATGATCCCTCTTATTTTGGTAAAATAATTAACATTTTGCAGATACTGTGAAGTGTATGTAAAATTTTGACAACAACTGTACACACAGACACTCACAGACACACACTACCCTTCAAAAGTTTGGGGTTAGTATATAGAAAGCGGTTATTTTAAATTGAAATAATATTTCACAGTATTACTGTTTCTACTCTTTTTTTGATCAAATAAATGCAGCCTTGATCCACATAAGAGACTTCTTAAAAACAACAACCCCCCCCCTCAAACGTTTTAACTGTCTTGCATATACAGCTCTGGTTCCAAAGGAAAAGATGTTGTGGTAACTGCAAGTTTAAGGTTGCTCTCTCTGAAGTCTATCCATGAGTCAGAAAGAGAGAGAAGAGGGGAAATTCAACCATCTGTTTGTTTGAACGGTAGTAGTAACCATAGTAAACATTAATCTTACAAAGCCACAATGTGGTGCATATTAAAGTGCAACTGTGCATCTGCAGTAAAACACAACTCTGAATTTCCCTATCCAGAGTTTGTGTCTAGTGAATGCATTGGGCACTACTATGAGACAGTGGAAGGTCTGTGTGAGCTGGTCATACATGAAATGTTTCCATGTGTGTGCATCTGTTGGCTGTTGACCACAGCCTGATGTTATGGGGATGGAAATTATGTTTAAATTTAAACATGTTTTCAGGGAGGATGCTATTCAAATTATACTTGTAGCACTTGTAGTACTTGTGCACCTTTCCTTGCCATGTCACAATGGAAGATTTTTTTAAAACAAACTATAGCATTTAATTTCTCCCCTAAATCCACTTAAAATGTTAAGCCAATTTGTTTGTACCACAAGCAATTATAATTTAGTTTTCCATTTTTCATCCTCCCCTCGACCCTTAGAAATAAACAGGCTGTTTTGCTACTGTATACAGTAAAACATTTTGTCAGCTTTGACGAAATTATTCAAAACATTTATAATGTTAAAAAATATTAGTTTTTTGAACTTTCTATTCATCAAAGAATCCTAAAAACGTGTATCACAGTTTCCACAAAAATATTCAGCAGCACAACTGTTTTCATCATTGATAATATAAGAAATGTTTCTTGAGCAGCAAGTTACCATCGTGAATTTTGGAATTGTTGAAATGCGAACTAGATTTGATCAGTTATTTACACTACTATAGTCAAAAATTTTGAATAATAATTACATTATTAAAAATAAAATAAATGACAAAAATGTATTATTGAAATAAATAAACAAATTACATTTTAAAATATTCAAACAGAAAACACTTATTTTTAAATAGAATAGTATTTCACAATATTAAGTTTTCACTACCTTCGTGAGCATAAGAAACTTCTTTCAAAAACATAAAAAAACATATTATTCCAAACTTGACCGGTATATAGGCAGTGATTTTGTGTGAGGATTGTGGAGGTACCTGTATAGATATGAGTTGCATTCTGTGCCTCTCCTCTTCTGTCCTCATGTAGACATGTCTCTATTTCTCCTGGAAAACCAATGGTCATAGCAGTGGATGGAGGCCTGGAAGAGTCAAAAATATCTCCATTAAAAACATATAAACATACAAAAACATAACAAATCATCACAATAAGACTTTGTTGCATACACAGAATCACATAATATACAATATAATATTCTTAACTTAAACAGAAACTTAAATATTAAAAAAAAATATATATATATCTACACAAATTTACTTAAATATTTAAACAAATTTAGGCTCCAAATTCTTTACTTGAGAGCTTTAATATTTAGAAAAAAATAAAAAGAATGGACACATTAAAAATGGTCTAATTCAGTGTTTAACAAGAAGAAAGTCAGTCATACAGGTCTGAAAAAATAAGGTTGAGTAAATGATGACAGAATTGTATTTTTTGAGTGAATTATTCTTTTAATAAGCTGAACCCATCCAGGTCATGTAACTATATAAAAATATTTCTAGAGAAGGAATAATCTATAAAACGCAGATTTCAGAGGGATATTAATCCATAAAGTACTAATCTGGCCTTTCACTGGTTTTAGTGCCTCTAAAACTGACAGTGACATAAAACTATGACGCACTAGCCAGAGCTAAAAGCACTTGAGGCGCAGTATGAGCACTCCCACACACACACAAACACCCGATAACACTTCTGTAGGCCTCACAAACCCACACTCCCCGGGACACACCACCAAACACTTTGATTTATGAATGTGTATGACTATTTTTGACAACCATCCACTGTAAAGGAATGATACAACTCTCACTAGAGCATGATTCACATGTCTTTGACGACAGAAGTGGGTGTAAATACACACACACACCTCTTCTTTGGGATTTATTTTTCACTCATTTCACACTGCATGTGTTGTTTTAATGGGAGATCGTGTGCCAACTCGCTTACATAACAGGAAGCACACCTTTCAGTGTTTCTGGGTGCTGTGTGATATGACAAATATTACGATTCTAAATGTCAGGATAAATGTCAACTATTTCAACATACACGCAAACACATCCGCACAATCACTCCAATCTGAAACCGCACCAACTATAAACAGCTTCAAGCACATGCTTCAAACATCACCAGGAAGTGGTTGAACCAGACTTCCTGTGTTCATGCGGTCCTAGACATTGGTTTCAGAAAAACACTGGCAAAAGCACTCTGGCACAGCCACACAGACACGCAAACAAATACAAAGGCATCACGGCAGCTGTGTCTGCTATTGTCGCACAAAGTTTCAAGGTCATTCTGAGCTGCTGGCTTATTCTGTGTGACATGAGTGACAATCCTGTTGAAAAGACCAGTGTAGACCAGTATGAATTCAAGCCTGGTTTGGTTAGCCGTTGAGCCTGCTCGACCAGCATAGTCTTTCTGTACCACTTGTTAAACTTAAATAAACCAGGTTGTGTCATGCTGGAGACCAAAACATCAAAAACATATGCTGGTATTTTCAGAAGGATGCAGATTTTTATTTGAATATGAAATTTAAACACTTCAAAATAATCAAACAATTAAGGGACAACGTACGTTTTAAAGCAGGGATCACCCGACATCAGCTGCATACTGATTATCACCTAGAGAAAGAGAGAGAGTGGTGGTTACATCCATATACAATATGAGATAAAGCAGATTGTATATTTTATTAATACCCCTGAAAACATGAAATATATCAGATACTGGAGAATTGTATGATAAATAGCAATTTCACAAAAATTTGTGTTATTTTTAAGGGCCCAACATATGGTGCCATTTCTCAGCAAACCCCCCAAAAAAAAAAAATATATATATATACTTATAATATTATGTTTAATTTTTTTTTTATTTTAAATAGGGGGGAAAATCTTTTATATCACAGGCAGTGAAGTTTTTAAAAGAAAGATACGCAAGAAGATTATTTTTCTCTAAGTGAGCAGGTCTCATTCAGTATTAGTAATTTCTTGATCAATTGCTGTGAAATTGTATTGTTCTGCTGTAAATATTTATGTTGTATCGTCTTTTGTGAGAACCGTATATTGAAGTCACTGAAACAAAAATTCCCCAAGGGGACGAATAAAGTTACTAACTAACTAACTAACTAACTAACTATTGTTACTTCTGCTTTTCAGCTCAATTACAACTTAAAATATAATTAGAAAATAAAAATACAACATAATATACATTTCATTATTATTTATAATAATATTAATAATAATGTCATTAATAATGTTTTTTCATAAATAATTATTTACACTGAAATGATTTATTATTAATCGTAATAATATTCTTAACAACTTATACATAATAATAATAATCACTTTACTTGTGAGAACCATTGTTGGGTGTTATTTTTTAAGGGCCCAATTATCAGCAAACCTAATATTACAGAATCAAATCGAAGAGTGTGAATATTGCAACAAAAACAAAACAAACATATGCTGTAAAATAACTGTAATGCGTCACATGGCTTGTTTCTACAATAAACTTATAAATATGACAACACATATGTGTCAAGCTGTTAATGGACTGCAGTGATGCAAGTTAAAATGGTCTGGTCAAGAGTGGTGCTCTCTCTACAGATATAAATGCCTGTGGAATTTTGGGTGCTCTCTGAACAGCTCCAGGTGGAAGTGGAAGGATACAGGGCTGTGGAATTCTGGGGGCACTGTGAACAGCTCTAGGCGTAGGTGGGGGTTGTGGATTGGAAAACACAGCTCAACACAGGCCGGAGCATGCCACACATAACCCACATGAAGCGGAACATGAAGTAACACTACACCACACACAGATCTGAGAGGACACGCCCCCTCACCCACCCCCTAGCAACAGTGTGTTTATGATATAAATAAACTAAAAAATGAAATACAGAGGGCATGCAGTCTCAACACAAAGGGGACAACTTTGCATATTCATTATAAAGTTGTTCTGCTATATATGTGTGTGTACCTTCAGTATAGAGTTGTCCTGACGAGTGTTTTTGGTGTTGTATCCCTCCAATAAACAACGCCGTGTGGTGCTTCCTGAACCGGCAAACTCAGCCAAGTTTAAATCAGCAAAGCCAAGCTGTGTGACACACACACACACACACACACTCACAGTAACAGTGCCAGTGATCTGATAGAAATAAATCTTCATAATCTACAAATAAACTGAGCTTACCTTTGCAAATGTCTTCCCACCTTTCAGCTCCTTCATAAAAAATAAATTAATAAATAAATAGTCAAAAACCTCACCCAATCCAACAACTTTTGCACAGAAACACACTCAAATGTTTCTGCTTAGTGTAGAATTTAAGAATTAAAATGTTACCTTTCTTACAGATACCCGAAAAACACATGGATCCAACACCCCTGTCCCTGCATTAGCACTCATCTTGCATAAAAAGGAGAATCTTTTTTTCCATTTAACACAATTCACCAGAACTGGCTCTCTGGAGAAGAAACCACAAGAAAGATCATGTAGATAGACAATACAAACAGACAGACAGATAAAATGACAGAATGATTGACAGTAGTTAGACAGAAAGATACAATGACAGACTGCGTGCGTGCGTGCGGGACCGTAGTTTTTAAACGCTGCTGCTGTGTGAACTGACAACAGACGACATTTTAAAATAAAAGTCCATCCAAATTATTTCGGATAGGATATTTCATGCTCCCAATAAGTCAGAATAAAAATAGAACATTATTTGTGTGAATTAATTATATGCATTTACAGCAATGAATATACAGCAATTTATTTATTTACAATTTTAATGACTTTTATGACTTATACTCAAGGAGGAGAAAAAACCCAGTCCAAACGGAGCAAAAAATATGCGATTTGGCGCATCTGCCAAAAACCATATAAATATCAGCAGCATTGATTTACATCAGATATCCTGATGTTAATCAGTGAAAGCTGTATAACGGTATAGCAGACTACTTGCAAATAGCTATCGGTTGTTACTCTACATCTCTCAATAATATGTAATTTAATTTATGTAATTAAAATTATACATAATATATGATACATTGTTTATTTTTTGTATAGGATTTCTGTATGTGTGATTTCAGTTTTAAAACTACAAAGTATATTTTATATCGCATGGACATATTCTATCATCACTCACTATAATAAAAGCATATCTAAATTTACATGCAATATCATTTCATAGAATATTATAATTCTATAGGCCTAAGGATAATTATATTTATTCATGTAGCTAGGCTACGTATAAATTGTATGTATTTTTTTGTATAGGCTACATTTGTATTGTATAATACTGTATATGTCAACCCAAAGAGGGCTTTTCTGGAAATCTTGAAGACCAGTGTCTTCCAATAATAACAATAATAATACTTTTAAAGGTCTGGTAACATCAAATTTATAAGCATCTTTTTTTCTGTTCGCCTCAATAAACTTTGCTTCATCCTAATTCTGACCCAATGTTTCTGTAGACAGGTAAACGAATAGAAATTCATATCAAGTGATGGTAGGGCTAAAATTTATGAATTTGAATCTTTGTTGTCTAATGTGGCGGTGATGGAACGATAATTTAAAAGAAATAATATAATATAGTTGATCACATGGCGTAGGCTAATAGCAGTAAGGAAAAGTTGAAGTTGATACTGTAGTTTATTGGACCAGACTGTACAGTCTATTTTATCTTACTGAACTGTTTCTTCATAACTCCAACATTACAACATACGCTAGCCTATATAAAGAATATAACATATAAAATAAAGTAAGACGCAACAAATAAATAATATAGTACAATTAAGTAAAATACACAAATACAGTTTAAAACATTATGTAGGCTACAATGCTGCGTGGAGAATGAGGAAAAGAGTATAAGATATATAAACGGAGTTCGCATGAATAGCATTGTTAGCAAACACATGAAGTATGTATTGTACAGGATTTATTGTTGTGCACTGATTCAACATAACTTAAAACTTTATCGAGTGCTAAATCAACGATCCTGTTGAGAGTTGGAGTGAGCAAACTAGCAGTCCACCAGAGGGAGACAACTCATCGTGAAAGCATACAGTACTATTCTGTGAACACAGATTACAGCGTCGTAATCAGACATCATATATATATATATATATATATATATAAAAAATTAATATCATTAACATGGGCGATTTGATTTTTAAATAACGAATGGATTTGACAGAAATAAGCAAGCCACGAAACTAAAAAAGGGACATAAAATATAGGCTACAATAAAATATTTAAAGTTTATTTTTTAGACTATATTATTTTGCAAGTAAAATATATGTAAACTAGTTTGCATTTATTTACTTTATCTAACATATTTATTGTTGTCTTAGTACTTTATGTTTCGCAAATATTGTAAATGCTTACAGTCATGTTAGTAAAGCTTTGACACTGACTGAAAGAGAGAGAGAGAGAGAGAGAGAGAGAGAGAGAGAGAGATTTCTGAATGATGAATGAATTCAGTGACAGTCTCAGTGAACGGGACCCTTCTCGGTTTGGGAAGGAAGGAAGGACTTACTACAGCCGGTACAGCATGTGAAAGTCCAACGCAGGCGACTTTCTCCTCCTTTCTTTTTTTTTTTAACACATTTTGCAGCCAGTCTCTGATCATTAAGCAATTCCACCGCACTTATTTCTCCCCTGAAATGCCGTCATGCCCCGCGTGAATGTCAGCTGGATTATCACGGTGCTCGCGGTGGAGCTCGCGACACTGTCCGCCGCGCACGCTCACAGCTGTCACGAGGTGAAAGCGGCGTTTCAGGTGCGTCAGATCGGCCAGCTCAAATGGGTGCCGGAAACACCTGCTACAGGTGAGCGTCAACGCTATGTTGCAACCGTTTGTCATCTTGGCGAAGAGCGGTTTTGGTTTAACTGAAACGTGTCTTGCTTAATATTGATGCCCTTTGATAACTACACCTGTTTGTATTGTAAAGTCATTGGTCCTCTTTGGATCTTTTTGTTTATTTACTTGTACCATAGAGTTTTTGAAGCAACATTATCTGTAGTTAATTAGGTGTTTTGGCAGAAACTACTGTAAGGTTACTATGGTAAATCTTTTTATTGTGGTGCAGCAATCAGCTGCTGTGGTTGCTCTATTATCCCATAGCATGTTTTAAGGAGGAAGTGTATTCTTTAATGGAATCGTTCACCCAAATATGAAAATGATCTGACAATGTACTCGCCCTCTGGCCACCCAAGATGTAGATGAGTTTGTATCTTCATCAGGTTTGGAGAAATTTAACATGACGTAACTTGCTCACCTTTGGATCCTCTGCAGTGAATGGGTGCCGTCAGAATGAGAGTACAAACAGCTGATAAAAGCATCACAATAATCCACAACACGACTCCAGGCCATCAATTAAAGTCTTATGAAGTGAAAATCTTTGTTAGAAACGGATCAGTCATTAAGAAGTTTTAAACTTCAAATCATTGCTTTGGGCTAAAATATGAGTCCTCTGTTTTATAATATTGCTTTCTATTGAGCACAACAATTGTTTTTTAATCAAGTGCAATTAACCCACAAAGAAGAACCTTCAAGGTACCTATAGCTCAAAGGTTGTCTGAATCAATATTTTAGTTGCACTGCCCAGGGACTCGTCCATTTCTGGTGCTGTCAGGTTCATTCCAGTGTTACATTTGCATCCTAAAAATTCCCACAGTGCGCTGTTAAAAACCATCAGCTGCTCACTATATTTACTTACTGGATATGTTGTCATGTCTCTGCATGTTTGGCACTGTACTTTTAACAGCTGAAGTGAAGATGCATGATAAACAAATCATTGGTTGTATAGTATGCATATCAGGGCATGATTGAATATGATTCCTGATAGTACATTCATGTAGAGTCAAGTTGTCAAAATATATTATATAATCAATATAATCATCAGCCTACCCCTTATTACTGGAATTCAAGAGCAATTTTTTATTTTGTTGCTCCTGTCAGGAAAATTTAATGTAATTAGCTTCCGTTTAATAGGTTTTACAAGTTGATTGACTGATTTAAAAAAATATATATATATGTTTTTTTGCCCAACAAAGTTTGCGTGAATGCCCATGTGTGCTGTAAGGCTCTGGACTCTGCACTGTAAATAATATGTCTGGGTAAACTTCAGACAAGGATCGTGTCGGGTTAAGGGAATCAGTGTTGACAGATGTGTTCAGCCAGCTGGTTTGATGCATGACTCGGCTAACAGGAGTGAGTCCTCCTGGAATGACACCGGGTACAAACCCGCAGGTCTAGAGTTCTCACAGTACTTGAACTCACACCCAGGTCTGGTTCTCCTATGACAGGGGTGCCTATCCTGCTCCTAGAGATCATCCTACCAGCATAGTTTAGTAATCAAATACTATACACACTTGAACCAGCTTATCGAGGTCTTTGGGATCACTTGAAAAGGTGGCTGCATCTCAAACACAAGCCAGCTACCTTGATATCTAGTCAGTCATTTGCTCTCTCTCTCTCTCTCTCTCTCTATCTGTCTATCTATCTATCTATCTATCTATCTATCTATCTATCTATCTATCTATCTATCTATCTATCTATCTATCTATCTATCTATCTATCTATATATATATATCTGTCTTTCAATCGTTTTATCATTCTATCCATTGTTCTATCATTGTTTTATCTATAATTTTATCTATCATTTTACATATCATTTTATCTATCGCCCTGCTTTTCTATCTGTGTTCTGTCATTTGTCCATTTCAAGACTTTTTAAACTTCTTTTTCTTAAACTTTCAAATTACAAGAAAACTAGTCATGACAAACTTGGGGTCTTCCTTTAAAAAAATGTTATTTGATTTTCAGTTAATTTTAATTCAGCCAGATCACCTACTGTACTGGCAAAATTGAGTGGTGAAACTAAACTAACATCTATCAGACAAGGTCTGTGAAACCCATGTTCTTTGGCTGAGACAGAGAGATATTTCTAGTTGTGTTACAGGTTCCTCCTCTTGGAGTCTTGAAGAGCAATAGTGGGATGGCAAGTTTTTCATGATGGTGCTTATTTGGGTTAGCTAAAAGCTGCATGCTGAGTTGTTTTGTTGGTGAGCTATAACCCTCTTTTGGGTTGGTCTACATGTGCAGAAGAATTCAGAGCATGCAGGAGAGTTCTAATGAGCCTCGTCTCTCAATAGATACTCTGTGCCCTCTGGTACGACTTCTCCTGTTTATTTGACTGAACACTGATGTGTAGACTTAGCATAGAAATCGTTCCACCAAGACCATACCACAGCAAAACCATAATTACAATATATCTCAGGTTAGTGTGGTTTTGCCTTCCTCCTAAGATCATTAAACTCTTTATTTCCTTTTTGTGGTCTGCAGAATAAAAGTTTAAAGAAAGCCATTAAGCCAATGATAAAATAAGTTCTAAATTGCTTTTGTTGCAGAAAGATTGGAATTTTCATTTTACGAATTTCTCCTGTTAGCAGAGTCTAGCAGAGGATAGTTCACCCAAAAGTGCAAATTCTGTCATCATTTACTCACCCTGTATGACTTTTCTTCTGTGGAACACAAAATAATATCTTTTCAAGAATGCTGGGGTCCAAATAACATTGGGTCCCATTGACATTCATTGTATGGACAGAAAAAAAACAGACATTTTTCAGAATATCTTCTGTTTTGTTCCATAGAAGAAAGTAAGTCAGACAAACAGCTTGAGTGTGACTAAATTGTGCAGTTATGCAGCATATCAGACTGTGCCAGGTTTGAGGAAAAATGCTCACACAGCTTAGGGATGAGTTCATTATCATCAAGCACTAAACTGATAACTGAGAGCTGTTTTTGTATCAGCAGTTAAGTGCAGGACACGGTCTGTTTATTTGCCACAACGACTTGGCGCAATTAAGGCTGAGACCGCAGACTAAACCAAAGTAGGCCTGTAATGTGTTTTCCCTTTTGCATTGATCTTAGAATAGTTTCATCAGGTGCATTTTGTTGTTGGAGTCCAGTCCTGTTTTCAGAACAGCAGTGAGCAGGTTCTGTGCAATGAACATGCTTTAGCTGCAGGCATAGCACTCCGCTCCTTTGGTGACAGCTGATGGGCATTGAGCAGCCAGAGGTCTGCTTGCAAGACAGCAGCCACAGACAACAAGAGGCTTTGAGCAAGAGTCTGGAATCTCAGACACGTCAGAATGTTTCCAAACACTATCACTGATGGGCAGAAACTCAAGACATCTTATAATAGTAACCGCTCAATTCGCTCCTTAAAAAATTTAATTCTATTTATCTATTGTTCTATCTATTTGTTTGCTGTTATGTTGTTTTATAATTTTCTATGGTTTTATCATCCTACTTATAGTTTCCATCCATCCCAGTTGTTTTAATGTCCTATTTATTGTTGGCTGTTGTAACATTTTTTGCATGTCCTATGTGAGCTTTTTGTTGCTCAGTGAGGAGGTCTTAATGTTGCAGAGGGTTCAAATCTGGGGTTGATCCCTTTCCTCAGAAGTGCTGACGGGATATGAGGGCATGAGACTGTCTGTTCTCAGATCAGATGCCAAGCAAAGCAGCTCCCAGAATCTCCACCTCTGCAGGATCTCTTTCAGAAAAGGCTGTGTTGATAACTAATCACACGAGTCTTTGTGAGACTGAGCAGCATGGATATTTGAAATAGATTTTATAGGAGATTGTTTCAGTTTGTTATTTGCCTAATAAATGAAAATAACATTTTTAGTTTT